AAAAAATAACTTTTTATCATTTACACACTCACAACTTTATTCACCTCCCGGAAAAAGTCAAACCATTTTTCACTGAAGAAATTCTCGCTCAAATGAGAAGTCGTCTCAAATTGGGAGTTACTCCAGATAATATCAAAGACGAATCTGGGCTACCTTTTTCCAGCAAAGTTGTATCTTCTATTCTTCACAAAGAAAAGGAAGAACCAGGCATGTCTCAAGCAAAAACACTTCGTGAATATTTTAACACATTAATACAATGGTCAACAATTATATACACAAACAAACGTGGTATTTTTCAAGGTTGTGTTGCGGTACACATGGCACTGTGTAATAATGATCATGCAAGTGAAATTATTATTGATGACACGTGTGGCACTAATGAATTCGGAATGCCTCTCGTTGTTGGTATATACATTGAAAAAACACTCTCATTGTCTTTTTTTCGCTTTAATGACAGATAGGACAACATCTTCATTTCTTCTTGTTTTTAAGTTTCTCAAGAGATTTATCACAATATCTGTTGCTATCTGTGATCGCTGTTTGAGTCAATCGAATAATATCCTTCAAATATTTTCAGGTGTTAATTTGATATATTGCACTCGACATATCAGAAGGAATCTAATTACATCTTTTGGTAAACACCATCCAATCATCAAGATATACAACAAAGTTGTGTTTGATAATAATACACCAGAAAATGTGCTCATCAAAGAAATGTACAGAATGCTAAATCAAGATGATGAGTCACAAATTGTAGGAGATGTGTCAGATGATTTTGTGAAGAGCAACGGTAATAAAATTTTGGACACAATACGGGAGACAATTGAATCTTTAGTTGAAAATACACAAAATGCAAAATTGACAGGAAAACCTTTGAACAAAGTAAGAATGATACAAGATCTTCTTGAGTATGCAAAGAGTTATTTGCCTAGTTTTGAGTCGGATTAATTTCGCCTTTTTATTTTTTGCCTTATTTTCTTCAATAAAAATTCAACAAAATGTAAAAACATTTGAAATATAAAAATACAGAAAAATATAATTTACAAAAAAATAAAAAACTATATATATTAATATCTTTTAACAATTGATACAAAAAATACACAAAACTTATTTATTTTTTTGTATTTTTTCATTGCATGTTTTATTTTTTTGCTTTCTCATAATCACTTACTCTTTTTTCTTTGGTTTTTTTTCGTTGTTAATTTTTTCTTTTTCTTTTTTGGATATTTCTTTTTGTTTTTTATTAACCATCGATCTTTTACTGTTTATAATTAATTGAGCATTTTCATTTTCTTCCATTTTCATATCAACATTTTGGTTTTCTTTATCGACTTCAATTTTTTCCTCAAATAAAACACAATTGGTTTCATCTGAATAAACACTTTCATTATTATCTGTTTCATTTAAATACCCCAAAATTTGCATGTTTGTTATCAAATCATTTTCTTGTTCAACTTCAATTTTTGCACATTCAGAGTCCAAATCAAAGTATATTTGCATTTTTTTGAAAGTAATTTTGTACATTTTTCTAAAAAAATAATAACATCAATTTTGTTTTCTCCAAACAACTCTTTTTGAAGTTCTGATAAAGTAACGTTTTTTTCTATCGTTTGTAATTTTTGTCGAGTCTTTTCCAATTCTTTTTCAAACCAATAAAAATGCAAATCTATAGATTTTTGGAATGAAAACAATTTATCTAAAAATATGTGTATTGGGGAATGTGGAATACAAACAAATCTGTTTAGAGAAGAATGAAAGCTCTCTGCCCTATTGTTGGTTCTTTCTGAAAGACCAAATACTGACCAATATTTCATTTTGAATACTCCATATATATAATTTGCTTCAAAGTAATTTAATATTTGTTTCACATCATCATCATCATCATGCATTACATAATCTTTTATTTTGTTGAATGCGTTTTTAATCATATTAACTGGAAGATAAGCAAGCGCCATCAACATTTTAACTATTGTTTTAAACATGTCGCCATTTTTAAAGCGATTTGAAAATCCAAGTGTTATTACTCTGCGATAAATAGATTGACACAAATGGAAATGACAACACTTCACTATCACTTCGTCGCCGAAAATATCCTTAAAAAACACAATTTCAAAATCACCCATTATAACTCCATTTTTGTGAAATAATGGATAGTTGCATATTGTCTCTATTTTTTGAAACAGGATTTTGTACTCATTCTTTGACTTGGATGTTAGGCAACAATAAAATATGGGAAAAGACTCGTTATTTTTAAGTCCATGGATCGTATATAATTGCTGAAAATATTCTGAAATTTAATAAAAACACAAATTTTGATTAAATGTTATTGTATATTTTACAAAAAACTTTATTTATTATATATATATTTTAACAATTAAATTATTTTTATAATTTGAACAATAAATAATTTTATATATTATTAATAAAAAATGTTTATAATTAAATATAGTTTATTTATTAAAATTAAAACTATAAAACAAATAATTGTTACTTTTTTACAAATATGTAACAAACTTGGGCACGACTTGAATGTGCCATCTATCAAAATGACACTGCATTGTTCAATAAATTCAAAATATTCTATTTTACCAAAAATAAGCATTTTATCATCTCTGTATAATAACATTTCTTGTTCTTTTCTAGTAAATCTAATTTCAGAAATAGTTTTGGGATTATCTGAACTATTTTTTGTTGTATATACAATATGTTCACATGCCGATAATCTTTTGGAAGACCCAGTAATAAAAGCTTAAGCTACAATTTCTTTTGTAGTTTTCAATTTGGAACTTTCTTTTGTTGATTCACTTTTCAAATTTAAAACACATTTTTTATTGAAATATACAGTAGAATCGTGGTCATGTGGTAATCCTTTATATTTACCAATATCCCCATATCCAATAGGATTTCCAGAATTATCGAAAAGCAGTTTAATTCTTTTTTTTGCATTTTTCATAATCACATTTAAAGATGATTCTTTCTTTATCTACTGATCTATACTTATATCCATCTACGTATGGTTGTTTTTTCCCTTTGTTTCAGTCAATCATTTCAAAATTTGGTGGAACAACTGGGGTTTTGATATCCCATTGATTTTTATGTTTATCTTTTAATTGATAAATAATATTGATCTACTTTAATATAAACTATGTTATAAGTTTTAAACCTAATGTGTTACATAAAAATTATATTAAAAAAATAATAAAACTTGTTATTATTTATAATGTATGATTAATACACATGTTTAATAATATTATTTGTTTAATTTAACAATTATATATCAAAAAATAAATTTTTGTTAAATATAAATTATTTTTCTATATTTTTATATTTCAATACATTTTACATTTTGTTGAATTTTTATTGAAAAAAATAAGGCAAAAAATAAGAAAGCGCCTAGTTTTACATCGTTAATTACTCAAAATACAACTTCTAATGGAATAGAAGGCTTATTGGCTGGCTTAAAAACAAGATTGATCACAAAAATGACTTTATATGACATTACAAAAGTGATAATTTCTTGTGCAATTACTCTTGAAAATAATTCATGTTTTTTTTAAACTAAACAAAGATGACATTGAATATCTTGCGGTGTATTTCGATGAAAGTGTTTTAAAAAGAATCACCGAAGACACTTTATGTGGTTTAATCAGGTGTGTTCACATTGTACACAATCCACTTTTGATGTCGGTGTTTGAAAATCAATCATGTACAACTTTATTAGAATCATGCACTTGCAAGTCTTATGAAATTAATGGATATCCATGTCCTAATATGCTTTCGTTGTATATCACAACTTTCAAAAGAGTCCCATTCAAAGTGTTTAATTTGATTTGTCTCAAAGTTCATACAACCAAAATTATCCACGAATCATGTGTTATAAAATCGGAAGTACTCGATAATTTTTCATATAATGATTATCAAATGTTACTTGAATAATATTACGCAAACATTCAAGCAAATCCCACAATACTGCCAGCTGTTATTAATATTTTGGAAAATAAAAAAGTGTTATTAAAAGAAGTGGGAAAAAACAAAAAAGAAAAAATTAAAATAAACTGCAATACAAGACTCTCTTTAACAAGAACAAGTACATCGATTGTAGAAATGAATGGAACACAAATTGGAACACAAATCACAACATCTTTAACATTGGACAACATTCAAGACCCAGCAAAAATTACCAAAAGAAAACAATTAAGAGCCGCGACTGTTGTTGATTACGCTGAAGGAACTAAATTTCCACCAAAACGCAAAAAAATACTTTCCAAAGAACAAATAAATTCGAACACTAAATATAGAATGTGTTTCATATGTAAAAAAAACAAGGACATTATGCAAAAATGTGTTCTCAAAAAGACGAATTAAACCTCTAAATTACTTTTTATTCATCTATTTCATATTAAATATTATTTAGAAATTATAAAAATTTACATTTAAACAATTTTTTTATTTTTTTCAGAATCACTTTGTATATTCTTAAACTTAAAAATGTAAAACAAAAATGTTTTTATAAAATGTTATTTGAATAAAGGTACACTGGTGCCGGTGAAAAACAGCAAACCACTGTTTGATATTATTATATTATAACTCAGACTGCTGCATCTAACTAAAACATCAACAACTTTTTGATGTGACATTAAATTAAATTATATATTACAACTTTTAATTTTTTAAAACAATCTCTAGCAAATGATTTAACAATGAGTTGAATTATTACACTTAAACACGTACAAAAATAGTGATCATAGATCGATGCACCACCGAATAGTATTGTAATACCATCAACAGTAAAACATTCAAAAGTCCAATCCGAACCAATCAAATTTAGTGGTATGTTATTACTGTATATACATTTATTGTTTTTAGTGTAATTTGTATATTTAAACTTGAGTTTTCGACCAGTTTTTCAAAGTTTCAAAATAAATTCGTAATCTTTTTTCATCTAAAAATATTATAAATTATAATCAATTTTTTTAAAAAATAAACTAACATTTCAAACAATGATACATATTGAATGTTTTCATATTTTAATTGTTGCGAAGTACCTTAAGACTTCAAACGACTTTTTGAATTTGGAAATGGTGTGTAAAAAGTATTATAACTTTACAAAAAATTTCCATTTTAACCCAATTTCTGTTTCAGAAAATAATTTAGTATTATTTCCAAATCTAGAAACACTTCATTTATATTCTCCTTGTGATGATTTTTTCCCAGAAAAAGCTTTCTTTCAAAAAATTGTCCATTATAAAGTAATACATTCCAGTCTCCCAAACGCATTACCAGAACATGTTACATATTCATTTGTTGAATACGTAGTGAATGGTTATTATTCCAAAGAAATTGTCTCGATTCCACCTCTAGTGACTTCAATTAGTGATGGGTGTTTTCGTGGATGTTTTGCTCTTTCATCTGTTTCTCTTTGTTCAACAGTAACTCGTCTTGGTGCCGCATGCTTTTATGGATGTTGTAACATCTCGAACATTTCTATACCCCATAATGTCATTTTCATCGGGAAAGACGCATTCAATTGGTGTTCCTCACTTGAACAAATAGTATTACCTAAGTTTATTACAAAACTAGAAAAAACAACATTTTGTGGGTGTTCAAAACTTAGTGAAGTTGAATTACCACAATATTTAATAAATATTGGGGGAGTCGTGTTTTTCTGGGTGTAGCTCACTCCGCAAATTGAAATATT